TAGTGTATAGTATAGTAGTGTATTGTATAGTGTAGTGTAGTGTGTATTGTAGTCTGTAGTGTAGTGTATAGTAGTGTAGCGTATAGTGTATAGTGCAGTATATTGTAGTGTAGTGTATAGTAGTGTAGTATAAAGTATAGTAGTGTAGCATATAGTGTAGTGTGTATAGTAGTGTAGTGTATAGTGGAAATTAACTTGGAAAAAAGTAATATTTAAAAATACTTTTTTTTTAAACACGCTTTAATGAAATGTACTAGTAATGGCAGAACTCCACGACTCCATGAAGTGGCCCCGAAGATTGCCAACACCTAAGGGGCCGTGGTGATTTACAGCCAACGTCAGTTAAGCGTGGACAATTCTTTTAACATATAAAAAAGATGTATGATTTTTTATTTTTTATTATATAATATAATATTGTCATCAATATGACATACGAATACTAAGTTTGCGGTCAATACCACATTGGGAAGTGGGTTAAAAAAGTGAGTTTGTTGAAAGCGTGTAAAAAGATCGTTTAAAAATGTTAATTTTTTTAGTTTTTTACGATAGAAAATGGTATTGTGAACAGTATATGACATAAGTATACTGAGTTTGCGGTCGATAGCACATTGGGAAGTGGGTTAAAATTGAGTTACAAGATTTGAGGATATGACAACAGATAGAGTTAGTTAAATTAAAGCGTGTAATAAAAAAGTTTCAGTTTTCAGTTTCATGTATTAGGCGTAGCCCTGTGAGCCATTCGGCTCTTGAATCGGGTGCAACCGCAACAAACAAAAAACAAAAACACGAACAAGAAAACATCTTAAAGTGAATAAGTGACTTTGTGCAAACAGAAAATCCAAGAAAAGTCATCAAAATATTGCAGAATAAAATATTTTAAAATACTTTTAAAAACAAACACGCGTTCATGAAATGTACTGTCCGAGCTGCCCCTCCCCCTGCCCCTATCGCCCCTCCCCCCTCCTTCCACATGCCCCGCCCCTGGGCGTGGCTCCCCGAGGCTTTCCGTGACGTCAGGGACCACGTGGTGATTTACAGGCAACGTCAGTTGAGCGTGGGCAATTAGAGCCGTTGAAAAGATTGTTTAACATTTTTATTTTATTTTATTTTTAATGATAGAATATCGTGTTGTCATCAGGTATGACACAGCTATACCAAGTTTGCATTCGATAGGACATTGGGAATACGGTTGAAATTGAGTTACAACATTTTTGGATACGACAACGCACGCGTTAAGTTAAATAAAAGCGTGTAAAAAGTTTTCAAACATATGTTTTGGATTTTTTATGATAGCATATCGTGTTCATACTCTTAGTTTTTTCGGTAAAGTCACGTAGGTAACAAATGAAATAAAAATTAATAAAAATAAAATAATAAAAATCACGACGACGTTTCGGAGGCAACACAAGTCTCCGTCATCAGGTGGAACCGTCACAGCCAGATTTGCTGCATCAAGTGAGGCAAAGATTCCAAGATGCAAGCTCTTAAATGCAAGTTAAGGGGGAGGAGAGGGGGGGGGAGGAGCTTATCAGAATGTGGTAGCCAATGAATGGAACGTATCGGGAGGGGGGGAGGGGCTACAAGAGAGCACGAGGTGTACGTGTACGTGGACATGTTTGTGTGCAAGCCCCTGTTGGTGCTCATGATGACGTATTGGAAGGGGGGAGGGGCTAAAAGAGATCACGAGGTGTATGTAGACGTCTCAAGCCGCACCTTACCATAATAATAAAAAGTGGGCCGTTCCTGGCCCATCCCCCCACCCTCAACCAGTATATATACGGGGTAGTATATCTTGGAATCTCTCATTTATTTGATACAGCTGTTGTGGCTGTGACGGTTCCACCTGAAGACGGAGGCTTGTGTTGCCTCCGAAACGTCGTGGTTTTTATTTTTATTTTACTTTAATTAATTTTTATTTTTATTTTTTATCTACGTGACTTTACCGAAAAAACCTAAGAATATGAATACTTGCAGTCACGAAAGCTTCAAATCTAGTAGACGTGGACGTGTTTGTGTGCAAGCCCCTGTTGGTGCTCATGCTAGAAGAGAACAAAAATGTCCATGTTGTTTTATTTTAATTTTTTTAATTTTTATTAATTTTATCATTTTTTATCCCTGTGACTTTAAGGAATAAACTAAAGAGTATGAATCCTTGCAGTCACGAAAGCTTCAAATCTAGAAGCATAGCGTGTTGTCATCAGTATGACATACCTAGACCAAGTTTGCAGTCGATAGCATATTGGGAAGTGTGTACAAATCGAGTTGCAAGATTTATTTTTTGAGGATACGACAGCAGCGTACACCGACACTGTGGGCAAAAATCCCAGTGGGATGCAAGTCAAACAACAACAACCACAAGACAACTTAGATTAAGGCCTTTACACTATGAGACCTCCTTTACCAGTGGCAAAATATAGTAGTAGGTTTTTGCAGGTATTGCAAACATGCTGCCTTGTATAAAGGTGTCAGTTTTGTACCAGTTTATAGCGTAAAAACCTACTACTATAGTTTGCCACTGGTAAAGGAGGTCTCATAGTGTAAATGCTTACCCCGAGCTCTCAATACTCTGATAGTGCGTTGTCTTTGAGTTGTACGCCTTTTGGCGTCATCTGGTCCAACACCAATGGAGACTAGGCTCTAAGGAAAGCTGTCTCGGGTGTGAACCAATCAACTTCAAGGACAGTGCATATCATTATCATCATCAGAGTTGTTTCTTTTTGTTTGCATTTTGACTGCTTGTGTTGCGGTTATTGCAAACATGATGCCTTGTATAAATGTGTCAGTTTTGTACCAGTTTAAAGGGTAAAAACCTACTACTATTAGATTAAGGCCATCAATAGACGAGTACCCGGCAGGTGTGATATACATACATCACCTCGAAGTCAGAGTGTGCGCCTCTGTGTGCCACACGCAACGCGAGCAGCACTTGCCCCTACGGTCTGTTAATGCTACGCGGGGGACCTTTGTCTTTGTTCTTCTCGCCCCCAGGGACTCTTCATCTTGATCTTTAGCTGCCTCCTCGACAAAGAGGTAAGGGAAGACAATTCACTCTTGTTATAGACATGTACACACAGAGACGCATAGATGCATAACCACTACATAGAGACCCATAGACTCACCATCACACAGAGACCCATAGACTCACCACCACCACACAAAGACCCATAGACTCACACAGAGACCCATAGACTCACCACCACACAGAGACCCATAGACTCACCACCACCACACAGAGACCCATAGACTCACCACCACACAGAGACCCATAGACTCTCCACCACTACACAGAGACCCATAGACACACACAGAGACCCATAGACTCACCACCACACAGAGACCCATAGACTCACCACCACTACACAGAGACCCATAGACTCACACAGAGACCCATAGACTCACCACCACACAGAGACCCATAGACTCACCACCACTACACAAAGACCCATAGACTCACACAGAGACCCATAGACTCACCACCACACAGAGACCCAGAGACTCACCACCATACAGAGACCCAGACTCACCACCACTACACAGAGACCCATAGACTCACACAGAGACCCATAGACTCGCCACCACACAGAGACCCATAGACTCACACAGAGACCCATAGACTCACCACCACACAGAGACCCATAGACTCACCACCACACAGAGACCCATAGACTCACCACCATACAGAGATCCATACTCACCACCACTACACAGAGACCCATAGACTCACACAGAGACCCATAGACTCACCACCACACAGAGACCCATAGACTCACCACCACACAGAGACCCAGAGACTCACCACCATACAGAGACCCAGACTCACCACCACTACACAGAGACCCATAGACTCACACAGAGACCCATAGACTCACCACCACACAGAGACCCATAGACTCACCACCACACAGAGACCCATAGACTCACACAGAGACCCATAGACTCACCACCACACAGAGACCCATAGACTCACCACCACACAGAGACCCACAGACTCACCACCACACAGAGACCCAGACTCACCACCACTACACAGAGACCCATAGACTCACACAGAGACCCATAGACTCACCACCACACAGAGACCCATAGACTCACCACCACACAGAGACCCATAGACTCACCACCACACAGAGACCCAGACTCACCACCACTACACAGAGACCCATAGACTCACCACCACACAGAGACCCATAGACTCACCTTCACACATGTGTAATAAAAGACTCCGTCAGGCACTGCTGGTCTCCGCTTGCCTTTTATTCAAGTTCTTCTCCGCACCCCGCTGGCCTCTTCCACGAACCAGCGTCATCTCGCACGCGCCCCGCGCACACGCGCTCCCTCCTCAGCTCCTCCACTCGTCCTCACACCCCGCTGGTCCTGACAAGGGACCAGCGTCTCCTTGTCAGGACCACCTGACAAGGGACCAGCGTCTACGACGGTGTGCCAAAGCCCCATCAGCCACGTGGCTGATGGCGCGGCGGCCACCCAACGTGGTCCCGCTTCTTCACTCCATCAACTGGCCCTGATCTCGATTTAAAGCTTCTTTCGTGACTGCCGGGATTCATCTTCTTGGTTCTTTCGGTAAAGTCGTCACGTAGAAGGGAAATAATAAAATAATAAAAATAAAACATAATAAAATAATTCTCACGACGTTTCGGCTACAACGCAAGCAGCCGTCTTCAGGTGAAGAATGAGACACTGCCAAGCTAGGAGCGTATATTTACGCTGCTTTGGAGGTGCAAGAAGAGCGCCTTAACAAAAGAATGTGCATATCAAGAGGAATTTTGCATATTCATGGGAAATGCGTAGGAGGTATGAATATGCTAAATTCCTCTTGATATGCACATTCTTTTTGTTAAGGCGCTCTTCTTGCACCTCAAACCCAGCGTATATATAAGCTCCTAGCTTGGCAGTGTCTCATTCTTCACCTGAAGACGGCTGCTTGCGTTGTAGCCGAAACGTCGTGAAAATTATTTTATTTTATTAAGTTTTATTTTTATTATTTTATTACTTCCCTTCTACGTGACTTTACCGAAAGAACCAAGAAGATGGCCCCGATCTCTTCCGGGCTCCCCCCTGTAACCTCTCTCCCACGTGACCCTGACTCCTCCCTTCCGGATCGTCAGATCCGGCCGTCCCATACTGCCCTGCTGGCTCCACCTCCATTCACCTCGCTTCCCATTGGAGCTGCCGAGGTGAACGGCGGCCCCTCCCACACGCCCCCAATACCGGGCTCCGCCCCCAATACCCCGGGTCCTGTGATTGGGCCAGAGTCCAGCAGCAACCCCATTTACGCTCGCATTACACTTGTATAGACATGTACACACATAGACCCATAGATTCATCACCACACAGAGACCCAGAAACTCACCACCACACAGAGACCCATAGACTCACCACCACTACACAGATACCCAGAGACTCATCACCACCACACAGAGACCCATAGACTCACCACCACACAGAGACCCATAGACTCATCACCACACAGAGACCCATAGACTCGCCACCACACAGAGACCCATAGACTCATCACCACCACACAGAGACACATAGACTCATCACTACCACACAGAGACCCACAGACTCATCACCACCACACAGAGACCCATAGACTCATCACTACCACACAGAGACCAACAGACTCATCACCACCACACAGAGACCCATAGACTCATCACCACCACACAGAGACCCATAGACTCATCACTACCACACAGAGACCCACAGACTCATCACCACCACACAGAGACCCATAGACTCATCACCACACAGAGACCCATAGACTCATCACCACACAGAGACCCATAGACTCACCATCACCACACAGAGACCCATAGACTCATCACCACACAGAGACCCATAGACTCACCACCACACAGAGACCCATAGACTCATCACTACACAGAGACCCATAGATTCACCACCACACAGAGACCCATAGACTCATCACCACCACACAGAGACCCATAGACTCACCACCACACAGAGACCCATAGACTCACCACCACTACACAGATACCCACAGACTCATCACCACCACACAGAGACCCATAGACTCATCACCACCACACAGAGACCCATAGACTCATCACTACCACACAGAGACCCACAGACTCATCACCACCACACAGAGACCCATAGACTCATCACCACACATAGACCCATAGACTCATCACCACACAGAGACCCATAGACTCACCATCACCACACAGAGACCCATAGACTCATCACCACCACACAGAGACCCATAGACTCATCACTACACAGAGACCCATAGACTCATCACCACACAGAGACCCATAGACTCATCACCACCACACAGAGACCCATAGACTCACCACCACACAGAGACCCATAGACTCACCATCACCACACAGAGACCCATAGACTCATCACCACACAGAGACCCATAGACTCACCACCACACAGAGACCCATAGACTCATCACTACACAGAGACCCATAGACTCACCACCACACAGAGACCCATAGACTCATCACCACCACACAGAGACCCATAGACTCACCACCACACAGAGACCCATAGACTCACCCCCACTACACAGATACCCAGAGACTCATCACCACCACACAGAGACCCATAGACTCATCACTACACAGAGACCCATAGACTCATCACCACACAGAGACCCATAGACTCATCACCACCACACAGAGACCCATAGACTCACCACCACACAGAGACCCATAGACTCACCACCACTACACAGATACCCAGAGACTCATCACCACCACACAGAGACCCATAGACTCACCACCACACAGAGACCCATAGACTCACCACCACTACACAGATACCCATAGACTCACCACCACACAGAGACCCATAGACATTCATGTCTAATCCTCTCTCCACCTCTCTGTCCAGGTTCGCAAGGAGCTGAAGAAGAAGCTTGGACTAGGTGCACAGAAATCGGTGAGTTGTGGTGCTGTCGCGATTGGCTCACAGAGACATCCATGAAGTGCATAGTGTAGTGTATAGTGTAGTGTGTAATGTAGTGAAAGTGTATAGTGTAGTGTATAGTGTAGTGAAAGTGTATAGTGTAGTGTATAGTTTAGTGCATTTTGGAGCGTATTGTAGTAGTGTATAGTAGTGTACTGTGTAGTGTGTAGTGTAGTGTATAGTGTAGTGTATAGTGTAGTGAATAGTGTAGTGTATAGTGTAGTGTAGTGTGTAGTGTAGTGTAGTGTATAGTGTAGTGTATAGTGTAGTGTATAGTGTAGTCTAGTGTATAGTAGTGTGTAGTGTAGCGTAGTGTGTAGTGTATAGTGTAGTGTATAGTGTAGTCTAGTGTATAGTAGTGTGTAGTGTATAGTGTAGTGTATAGTGTAGTGTATAGTGTAGTGTGTAGTGTGTAGTGTATAGTGTAGTGTATAGTGTAGTGTATAGTGTGTAGTGCATAGTGTAGTGTATAGTGTGGTGTATAGTGTAGTGTATAGTGTGTAGTGTATAGTGTCTAGTATAGTGTAGTGTATAGTGTAGTGTACTGTGTAGTGTAGTGTGTAGTGTATAGTGTAGTGTATAGTATAGTGTATCGTGTAGTGTGTAGTGTAGTGTATAGTGTGTTGTGTATCATCGTCATTGTCGTCTTTCTCCCTCCCTCCTCTCCCCTCTCTCCTCCCCGCTCTGTCTGACAGAAGGGGATCAGCAGCACCGGTTTGAATCCAATCGTTCTACCAAGGTTTCACTGTGAGTATGCCTGGTGGTAGTTCAAGACATTGATCTACTTTCAATCTTGATTTGAAGCTTTCGTGACTGCAGGAATTACTCTTTGGTTCAGTCGGTAAAGTCACGTGGAAAGAAAATATATTTAATAATCGATTGCGAAGTTTTGATTGCAACACAAGCAACCGCCATTGGGTAGAACTAAATTTGAGAGAGAGACAAAACACAGACACGGAGACACACAGACAGACACACAAGCAGAGAGAGACACACAGAGACACACAGACAGACACACAAGCAGAGAGAGATACACAACATAGACTCATTACTTTACCGAAATAACCAAAGAGTTTAATTTAATTTGTTTTAAGTAAAGTGCTAAACCAAAATTAAGCTGTGTTCATGTTACCAGGTGGTAACACAGAGATCCTTGGAGATTCAGATAATCCTATAGAATAATAGAGACCTACAGAAACACACAGATATTTACTGAGACCCATAGAGACCGATAGAGACCCACGGAGACCCACGGAGACCCACAGAGACCCACAGAGACCCGTAGAGACCCCCTGAGACCCCCAGAGATGCACAGCCGAGAGCCATAGAGACCGATAGAGACCCACAGAGACCTATAGAGACCCATAGACCCACTGAGACCCATAGACCCACAGATACCCACAGAGACCACACAGAGACCCACAGAGATCCAGCAACTTGTATAGACCGACAGAGACCCATAGTCATTCATAGACACCCAAAGATCCACAGAGAACCCACATAGACCCACGGAGACCCACAAAGTCCCATAGAGACCCACAGAAACCCACAGAAACCCACCGAGACCCATAGAGGCCCACAGAGACCCACAGAAACCCACAGAGGCCCACAGAGACCCACAGAAACCCACAGAAACCCACAGAAACCCTCAGAAACCCACAGAAACCCATAGAGACCCACAGAAACCCACAGAAACCCACCGAGACCCATAGAGGCCCACAGAGACCCACAGAGACCCACAGAAACCCACAGAAACCCACCGAGACCCATAGAGGCCCATAGAGGCCCATAGAGGCCCACAGAGACCCATAGAGACCCACATAGACCAATATAGACCCACAGAGGCCCACACTACAGCAACACTATATGTTTTATTGTACCAGGTAAGGCAGACATATCAGAGCAGTCAAATGCAGCTGAATGCACGGTGATGCCAATTCTAAATTTGGAGGGGGTAAAAATCCGGATGAGGACCTGGAGATCGAATCCACGCTGTGACCGCCACGGGGAGAGCGATGCAGACTCCAAACGTACAGTGGGAGGCATTGTCAGGGTCCAGGATCGAACTCGCGACCTCCTGAATACCAGGCAAGGTAGTGAACATCTCAAAATCGAACCCACGACCTCCTGCGTAGCAGGCGAGGTAGTGAACATCTCATAGCCACCATGAGCATTCGGGTCTGGGATCGAACCCACGACCTCCTGCGTACCAGCCGAGGTAGTTAACATCCACCCATACATTCACACACTCACCAACTCACCCACTCAGTTACTCACCAACACACTCATACTCACTCACCCACTCACTCACCCACCCACTCGCTCACACACTCACCCACTCACTCACCCACTCACTCACCCACTCATTGACGCAATCACCCACTCACCCACTCAGTCAGTCTATAACTCACCTACTCAGTCACTTACTCACCTACTCACCTATTCACTCACACACTCACCTACTCAATCACCCAACTACTCACTGACCCACTCACTCATTCACTCACCTACTCACTCACTCACTCACCCGCTTACTCACCTACTCACTCACCCACCTACTCACTCACCTACTCACTCATCCAATCACCTACTCACCTACTCACTCACTCACCTACTCAATCACCCACCTACTCACTCACTCACCTACTCACCTACTGACTCACTCACCTACTCACTCACTCACCTACTCACTCACCCACCTACTCACTCACTCACCCACCTAGTCACTCACCCACTCACTCACCTACTAACCTATTAGCTCAGGACAAACAAACTAAACACCGACTTATCTCCCTTATCTCTCCCTTAACTCTCCCTTAACTCTCCCTTATCTCTCCCTTATCTCTCCCTTATGTCGCTCTCTCTCCCCCACAGCTTCCGAGAGGAGAGAGCCGGAGATGAAGATTCACCTGAAGCGTCCGGCCATAAACAACTCCATCAAATTTCTGAATCTCTCAGACTACCAAACTCTGAACAGTGACTGGTGAACGGGGAGAAAGCAGAGGAGGAGGTGATGGAGGAGTTGGAGATGAAATTGGTTGAGGTGGACGTGGTGGTGGTGGATTGGGAGTCTGCCCCAATGGGCCCGCGTTAACAAATCGCTCTTGAACTGCATCACAAAAGTAACCTGCAGCGTCACACCTATCGCCATCATTAGGGGACAGAACGGCGGTCCGATCTCCGACTTCCCCAGCAGAGGTCGCAACCGGGGTACCTGATACCCGTACCCTACCCGGTACCCGTTTGCGACCCTGGTGCGGCTGGGTACAGGTACGGGTAGGCCGTGAGTCACTGGTGAGTCACCGTTTGTCACTCATTTCGGGTAGGGTACGGGTACGGGTAGGGAATGGGTACCTGTACCCGGCCGGGTACGGGTACGGTACGGGTACCCGATACCCGTACCCTACCCGGTACCCGGCTACATGTACCCGGTCGGGTACGGGTACCCGTTTGCGACCCTGGTGCGGCCGGGTACGGGTAGGCCGTGAGTCACTGGTGAGTCACCGTTTGTCACTCATTTCCCAACGTCTTGTCTCTTCTCACAATTCAAGTTCCTAGAATCAACCCACCCGCGCCTGCAACATGGCTTCATCCCAGAGGTCGCAATCAGGTACCCGATACCCGTACCCTACCCGTACCCGGCCGGGTACGGGTAGGGTACGGGTATGGCCGAGTACAGGTACGGGTACGGGTACCCGATTGCGACCCTGGTGCGGCCGGGTACGGGTAAGGAATCAAAACCCAGTAGTAGGTTTTTACCCTTTAAACTGGTACATTCGTGTGTGTGTGTACACGTGTGTGTGTGTGTACACACACATGTGGGGAGCGGTGGGTGTAGTGGTTAGCGCCACGCTGCGCTATGAACCTGGCGACCCGAGTTCGACACCTTTATAGGTGTCAGTTTTGTACCAGTTTAAAGGGTAAAAACCTACTACTATATTTTGCCACTGGTAAAGGAGGTCTCATAGTGAATCAAACCCCGTTTGCGACCTCTGGCGCCGGGGCTGGGTGGATGTTTTTATACTTTAACGAGCGACCGATCATTGCCGATTGAATCGCCGCGCTTCTGTCGAACGTCTCGTGTCTGGCGTCGCGCGGGAGATTCGAATCTGGGACCCCGCCAATTGTCACCCCTCCTTCAACCCCCCGAGAGAGTGAGCGCGTGTGTGTGTGTGTACACGTGTGTGTGTACACGTGTGTGTGTACACGTATGTGTGTGTGCACGTGTGTGTGTACACGTGTGTGTGTACACGTATGTGTGTGTGCACGTGTGTGTGTACACGTGTGTGTGTACACGTATGTGTGTGCACGTGTGTGTGTACACGTGTGTGTGTACACGTGTGTGTGTGTGCACGTGTGTGTGTGTGTACACGTGTGTGTGTACACGTGTGTGTGTGTACACGTGTGTGCGTGTGCACGTGTGTGTGTACATGCATGTGTGTGTGTGTACACGTGTGTGTGTGTACACGTGTGTGTGTGTACACGTGTGTGTGTACATGCGTGTGTGTGTGTGTACATGCACGTGTGTGTGTGTGTGTACACACACATGTGGGGAGCGGTGGGTGTAGTGGTTAGCGCCACGCTGCGCTATGAGCCTGGCGACCCGAGTTCGATTCCCGCTCACGGCCAACACCAGTGACGATTATCTGAACCGGTCCCGGGCCTCCCCTAGGTCACCACAGTCTAAAATGAATACCTGGTGCGATGTGTAGTAAACATCGCCACTGGGGAGACAAAAGCGGCCAGGCGTGGTGGCGCTGGCCACCCGCCCCCCTCGTGTGCCGTGCCGGCCTTCATAGGTGCTCGCTAACAGCACTTGCCCCTATAGTCTGTTAAGGCTACACGGGGGAAGCTTTATGTCTTTGCCTTTTGTGAATCGGTTATGATTTTGTGGTTTTAAATGAATGGCAATAAATTATGGCGAGGAGATTCGTGCAAGGATCCACGATGCTCCGTCCGTCTGTCCGTGCGTCCTCAGAATGGTTTTATGAATTAGGATCATCATCATCGTCGTCGTCATCGTCACACTCGGTGTGTGTGTCTGTGTCTGTCTGTGTGTCTGTCTGTGTGTGTGTCTGTGTGTCTGTCTGTGTGTCTGTCTGTGTGTCTGTCTGTGTGTCTGTCTGTGTGTCTGTCTGTGAGTGGCTTGGCTGAGGTGCCATCCGTTGAGGAAGTACTGAAGGCGATCCAGAGTCTGAGACCAGGAAAGTCACCGGGCAGAGATGATCTCCCAAGCGAAATGCTGAGGAAGGGTGGCGTTTGTGCACAAACTGCCCTACATGGCATCATAACAACAGTCTGGGCCACTGGACGGGTTCCGCAGGATTGGAAGGATGCCCTGGTGGTCCCCCTTTTTAAGAAGCGTGACCTCACCCTCCGTTCGTTCCAGTTCTGACCACGTGTTGTTCGTCTCCACCCCAATTTAATACCCAGGTCACGTGGTACCTTTTCACCAATCCTGGTTAGCCTCTATGGAATCTTCTAGACTCCACCGTAGGCTCCCGGGACCACGCCCCTGACTCGTCTCCCCATTGGCTGTGGCTAAAGCCAGCAGAACCAATCATCTACTTGCAGCTGTCACCTTCCCATGACGTCAGGGCCACGCCCCTGACTCGTCTCCCCATTGGCTGAGGCCAAAGCCAGCAGAACCAATCCTCTACTTACAGATGTCACCTTCCCATGACGTCAGGGCCACGCCCCCAGGCTTCCCCCCCATTGGCTGTAGACCAGGAGCAGCAGAGCCAATCATCGTGACGAGTTGTGATACGTCAGTGAGCCGGATATATCCTCACATTACACAAGGTGCTCTCTCTGGTGTTCGTAAGCACACGGGCTGCGGCATTCTGCATGCGTTGTAGGTTACATGTTGACTTTTTCGGAAGAACGGGAAAGCGAGCATTGCAGTATCTTCTTGTTTCTTTCGGTAAAGTCACGTAGAAGGGAAGTAATAAAATAATAAAAATAAAACATAAAAAAATAATATAATTCTCACGACGTTTCGGCTACAACGCAAGCAGCCGTCTTCAGGTGAAGAATGAGACACTACCAAGCTAGGAGCTTATATATACGCTGCGTTGGAGGTGCAAGAAGAGCGCCTTAACAAAAAACATTGCAGAAGTCAAGTCTGCTGCTAATAAAAACACGCATCAGACTCTTGGTAGTGAACCCAGAGCGAAAAGGCTGTACCTTAGCCACGTTTCTAAGATGAACAAATGTGGTTTTGGTGATAGATCTGACGTGGGCTTCAAAGTTAAAATCCGGATCAAACAAAACCCCGACGTTTTTAACCTGCAATTTGGAAATGTCTGTCCGCGACCAAACATTTGTGAGCAGTTTATTTTCTTAGGTTTTTTCGGTGAAGTCACCGTGTAGGTAAAACATTGAAATTAATAAAAGTAAAATAAAATAAAAATCACGACGTTTCGGAGGCAACACAAGTCTCCGTCTTCAGGTGGGACCGTCACAGCCAGATTAGCTGCATCAAGTGAGGCAATGATTCAAGATGTAATCCCTTAAAAGCGAGTTGAGGGGGGAGGAGAGGGGGGGGGGCTCATCAGAATGTGGTAGCCAATGAATGGAACGTATCGGGAGGGAGGGGGGCGGGGATTACATCTTGAATCCTTGCCTCACTTGATGCAGCAAATCTGGCTGTGACGGTTCCACCTGAAGACGGAGACTTGTGTTGCCTCCGAAACGTCGTGATTTTTATTTTATTTTACTTTCATTAATTTTAATGTTTTACCTACACGGTGACTTTACCGAAAAAACCTAAGAATATGAATCCTTGCAGTCACGAAAGTTTCAAAACATTTGTGAGCAGTTTATCTCTTTGGGCTTTGGCTCCAATTGCCAGGATCTCTGTTGTCTTTTAAGTGCCAGGAAATTCAGTGATATCCACATTTTAATATCATCAAAGCACTTCATCAGGTTCTCAATGGGGCTTACATCATTCTGAGATATCGAAATATTTCGTTGTGTATCATCAGCGTAGCAATGAAAACACTGGTCAACACGCTTTTTCTGGCATAAGGAATTCCAACGGGTTTAAGGTGATTTTGGGGTGCTGATTCCAAATCTGGCATCAGTTTTTATCTATCACATCAGGTTTTTGAGATATCAAATATTGCATTTCCGATAAAGACTGCAGAAGAAAAATATTAAATAAATGTGGATATCTACATAAATCATATTATAAACACACTATCCTAAAAATACAGCGCCATATTTAACACTAAAGCAGTCACTGACTCGCAACAACTTGCAATCATAAGTGACAGAGTTAATTTCGGGTAAAATCAATGAAAATGGGGTATGCCGATAGCATAACATTGAGATGTGATGGAGCAAATCTGAGATCAGATTTGGAATCAGCACCCTGAAATTAGTCTAGAACAGCTGCAAAAGTCCAGGCCAGACAAAACATTTTTTTTTTGTTGACCAGTGTTATAGGGCGAGGGAGAGGTGAGTTAAAACCCGTTGCGAGTCAGTGACTGCTTTTGTGTAAAATATGGTGCTGTATTTTTAGGATAGTGTGTTTATAATATCATTTTATGTAGATATCCACATTTATTTAATATTTTTCTTCTGCAGTTTTTATTGAAATGCAATATTTGATATCTCAAAAACCTGATGTGATCGACACAAACTGATGCCAGATTTGGAATCAGCACCCCAAAATTACCTTAAAACCGTTGGAAAACCTCATACCAGAAAAAATAACCCGTAAAAACAAAGTTTTTCACTAGAAATCCTTTATATGCGTGGCATCGGGGCGGCTAGAGTCCTCTCGTCCTCTGGCTTGAGATGGCTGCCACCTATGGGTCAGATGATTGCCTACCACCATTCATGAATTGGTGATGAAATCTAATATTTTTGTCCTAAAAAGTGTAAAATTTTGGAGAAAAAAATTTCACGAACATTAATTGTCACGCACAACGAGTCTGTGTGCAAAATGTCAGCTCGATTGGATCACGGGAAGTGGGTTAAAAAACGACCAAAAGATTTGCACGGTCGTAAGCAAGCAAGCAAGTGAACTTAATATAAAGGATTTAAAAAGTGTGTTGACCAGCGTCACCCGCTCGGCACCGCTGCACATTTGCGGCAACTGTTAATGATTTACTGCCCGCGTGCCTCCCACACGCACACGCTCCAATTACGCCACTCTCCCACACGCACACAGAAATCACTCGGAGTCGGTGCTAAAGTTTGTTAATGTCGCGCCTGAAGGAAAAAAAGAAAAACCGTGCGTGGCCCTCGTGCAAAATTTTCCCTATCGGTGTACGCTCCCTCTAGTTCTCAACAGAGATCGCAAACGGGTTTTGATTTCTTACCCTACCCGTACCCTACCCGTACCCGGCCGGGTACGGGTAGGGTACGGGTACGGGTACGGGTACCCGATTGCGACCTCTGGGATGAAGCCACGTTGCAGGCGCGGGTGGGTTGATTCTAGGAACTTGAATTGTGAGAAGAGACAAGACGTTGGGAAATGAGTGACAAACGGTGACTCACCAGTGACTCACGGCCTACCCGTACCCGGCCACACCAGGGTCGCAAACGGGTACCCGTACCCGGCCGGGTACGGGTAGGGTACGGGTATCGGGTACCCGGTTGCGACCTCTGGTTCTCAATTTCGTGGACGCACTAGCGGTGTCGCACGGACGCGGTGGGAGTCGGCGGGACGAGGGTACGAGAGGTCTCTGCCTGGGGTCGAGTCGTAGCGGCGTCGCTCGGACGCTGCGAGCGGCTGGGAGTCGGACCGGGCAGCTCATCGGCTGAAGGAGAACTACCCCCTCAACGTTTTTCAACTCCCTCCTTTTATCCCCTCGGAATCCAAAGATCCGGGGTCACGTGGTGTAATACTGCGCGGCCAATCGGGCGCCTGCCTTTCGGTTTTAAATCGATGCCCCCCGCCCCCCTACCTGGAGCGTTGCTTTTCATTACGCCTCGATCCTCCCCACCCCGGACCAGAGGTCGCAACCGGGTACCCGATACCCGTACCCTACCCGATACCCGTACCCTACCCGATACCCGTACCCTACCCGATACCCGTACCCTACCCGATACCCGTACCCTACCCGATACCCGTACCCTACCCGATACCCGTACCCTACCCGATACCCGTACCCTACCCGATACCCGTACCCCACTCGATACCCGTACCCTACCCGATACCCGTACCCTACCCGATACCCGTACCCTACCCGATACCTGGCTACCCGTACCCGGCCGGGTACGGGTAGCCGTTTGCGACCCTGGTGCGGCCGGGTACGGGTAAGGAATCAAAACCCGTATGCGACCTCTGGTTGGTGGGTGAGTGAGTGGGTGAGTGGGTGGGTGAGTGAGTGAGTGAGTTCGTGAGTGAGTGGGTGAGTGCGTGGGTGGGTGAGTGGGTGAGTGAGTGAGTTCGTGAGTGGGTGAGTGAGTTCGTGAGTGGGTGAGTGAGTGAGTGAGTTCGTGAGTGGGTGATTGAGTGAGTTCATGAGTGAGTGAGTGGGTGAGTGGGTGGGTGAGTGAGTGAGTAGCTGAATTAGTGGGTGGGTGAGTGAGTGGGAGAGTTTGCGACCCTGGTGCGGCCGGGTACGGGTACGGGTAGGCCGTGAGTCACTGGTGAGTCACTGTTTGTCACTCATTTCCCAACGTCTTGTCTCTTCTCACAATTCAAGTTCCTAGAATCAACCCACCCGCGCCTGCAACATGGCTTCATCCCAGAGGTCGCAATCGGGTACCCGATACCCGTACCCTACCCGTACCCGGCCGGGAACGGGTAGGGTACGGCCGGGTACGGGTACCCGTTTGCGACCCTGGTGCGGCCGGGTACGGGTAAGGAATTAAAACCCGTTTGCGACCTCTGCCCCGGACTCAATTGATTTGATGGGGTGACCGTCTCGCGGATACACAGCTTCAGTTGGAAGCTACCTGGTCTGTCGCTCCGCACGAAGCTTCAGGTCTTCTCGGCCACGGTCATTCCCTCCCTTCTCTACGCTTGTGAAACGTGGACACCCCTA